ATAACTATATAACTGCGCTATTATAAAAGTCTGGGTAAGCTATATTTTTGCCTGATACGATGATACGATGATACGAAGTGAAAATGATTACGTAATAACTATATAACTGCGCTATTATAAAAGTCTGGGTAAGCTATATTTTTGGCTGATACGATGATACGAAGTGAAAATGATTACGTAATAACTATATAACTGCGCTATTATAAAAGTCGGGGTAAGCTATATTTTTGCCTGATACGATGATACGAAGTGAAAATGATTACGTAATAACTATATAACTGCGCTATTATAAAAGTCTGGGTAAGCTATATTTTTGGCTGATACGATGATACGAAGTGAAAATGATTACGTAATAACTATATAACTGCGCTATTATAAAAGTCTGGGTAAGCTATATTTTTTGGCTGATACGATGATACGATGATGCGAAGTGAAAATGATTACGTAATAACTATATAACTGCGCTATTATAAAAGTCTGGGTGAGCTATATTTTTGGCTGATACGATGATACGAAGTGAAAATGATTACGTAATAACTATATAACTGCGCTATTATAAAAGTCTGGGCAAGCTATATTTTTGGCTGATACGATGATACGAAGTGAAAATGATTACGTAATAACTATATAACTGCGCTACTATAAAAGTCTGGGTAAGCTATATTTTTGGCTGATACGATGATACGAAGTGAAAATGATTTCACTTCGTATCATCGTATCACGCAATAATATAGGTTACCCAGGCTTTTATAATAGCGCGGTCATATAGTTATTACGTAATCATTTTCACTTCGTATCATCGTATCATGATAACAAGGGATACCTTCAAAAGTGGACGGGTATTCTGCAATTTAGCCAAATCTCGTGTTCTGAAGGAAATAAATTTTCCCGGAAATGAATGTCCCCGGAAGACACGGTAGCCACATAATTTCTTCGGGCAGCCTGTATGCAGAGAACCAATTATATAAAACTACTTTCTTAATTGTAGTCTAAAACATAAATGACTTAAATGATTAAAAACAATTTTCTTCAAACTGGATAACAGCATGTATACAATTGTAATTAGGCTCAAATAGCTGAACTTAAATTTGTGTTGATGCATGGGTTAACTATATATTTGCATTTCATTGATAAAGTATATTTAGGCTAGGTGTGCAAACAAGGCAAGTTACGATGGTACTGCATGGGTAATTAAAATATTGCTGAAGCCATTACTTTTAAAATTTGCATAATATTTACTAAAATTGAACCTTGACTTTACTTTGCTCTTGAAAAAGACACTCACATTGTCGATCATACAAGGCTGTGAAGATTGATATCATTTTGTTTTCCAATTAACATACAATGTACGGTAGTACATAAAACGTTAAACGTAAGTATAATTCTCTAAATTTGTTTCATATAGACCGATATAGATGTTCTTATAATGTATTACATGGTTCAACCTCGTTCCCAGGCAAAAATCCTGCATGCATGGGAACGAGGTTGTATATACGGTTATCGATCTGGCTTATATAGTTTATAGGTCATTACACTATTTTCTAAGATTGTTTTTCCTTTCATTTGTACCGAAAAGCTTTTTAAATCAAGGCGATGTCATCCACCGACTTCACAAGAAACGAATTTTTTTGAAAGGCATTAATTTTTATATTACTGTTTTGTTATGTTACTATCCATGGCAACTATAACCATGCAACCATGTGTATATCAACCAAATTGTCCAAGTTATAAACAAGTTAACCCGTAAAATTGTTTTTATTGTATATAACTTGATGCAGTAAATGATTAACATAACAAAGACAGTTATAATTATGTGATAACTATACATATCACTAGTCTGCAGTGTAGCCGCTCGAATGCAGAAATTTCGTAAGCGTGAATCTGCATGCTTCGTGCTTTATAGAAAAAAATGAGTGGAAAATTTTCGCCTCTGTGATACATTTGGTTCAATAACAATCTAGATTTAACAACGGCAAACTTCAAATGGCATTTGAAGGCAAGTTGTATACAAATTCTTGAGAAGTAGCTATTTCATCAATTTGTAATGTAAATTTCTATTAATGCGCAGGTTGACCTCAAAATAATATTTGAAGTTTGCCGCGTTTGCTGTAAACGTCTATAATAACGAAATGAAGAATTTTGTATGGATGGAATTTAGATCAATTTTGTACATTTATTTAGATCGAACGATTGGAGCAGTTGCGAAAAATGCAACTATAGGCCCTCTCTGGCAGGAATCGATCGAACCTGTAGCCCAGTGATTCCGATGCAGCGCTCTAACCGTGCGATAGCCCACAGTTTGCGGTGCAGCACTCCAACCATATATAATCCAGTTGACGAGCTCTAACCTTTCATTATTATTCACAGTTCAATTCGCCTTTCTCACGCCGACATTTTTGGGTGGCTTTTTAGCCGAAGTCTGCGAGATGAGTGCACATAACGGCGACTTTTTATAATTTTTTGGATGAATAATGGCAAATTTTCTTTGTAAACAATGGTTAGTCAATTTTGAAAAATTGCTTTTCATATTGTTTTAGTTGTCTGCATTGCATGGTCAACGAGAATTAGATGCCAACCCAGAAATGGCGGATATTCGTCATCGCGTGAGAAAGGCTAATTGAGTGAGATGTCCAAAAATATCTCGATAACAACCAATATGTATATGTAATTATTTTGGCATCACCTTGGTGTGTGTGCATGTTATATGTAAGAGCTCGATAACTGCATGGGCTCTGTATAAAATTTACACTCGCAATTGCCATCTATATACAAAACCTTTCATCATTTTAATTCAATCGAGTGCAAACATTTGGTGTACAGAATGGCACCGAATTTCCGCATCAAAATGGCGAAAAAAAAATCAAATGCTTTAATCTTAGGCAGCGTTTACACTGTACCGTTTTCGTAGTGTTCTCGTATTGTTCGAGAGAACTAGACTGTTGTCTTGCGTTCCCTTGAGGATTAAGAACAATACGAGAACGCTACGAAAACGGTACAGTGTAAACGCTGCCTTAGTCAATATATACACCGGATATAGAGTTAATTTTTCCATATACACGGTGTGAATAAAAAAAAAACTGAACCCTTTCAAATTCAAATTAGCTATAACGTATTGTAGTAATTTGACAGCTCTAATTGCTTTAAATTAATGGTTGGATAAGAACACTAGGTCTTGTACTCATGGGACAAAACTCAAAGAAATAAAATTTAGAAAATTTAAAAGAAATACAGTACTCCTTGTGTTTTTACCCAACAATAATTCAAGGCAATTAGAGCTGTCTAATTACTACAATACGTTATAGCTAATTTGAATTTGAAAGGGTTCAGTTTTTTTATACACCCTGTACGTATACGTTTAGATTCTTTATTATGATGTGGGATTATAGGCCTATACTAAAGCCTGGTTCACATTGATCGGCGATGTTCTACGATCCATTGTCTGTGAGCAACGAAGAAGAAAATGCACAAAAGATTTTATGCATCAATGACCACCGACAATGGGCATCGCCGATGTTTACGATCAATGTGAACCAGGCTTAATAGGCGACACTTCTCAACTTGCAGTGATTCATGGCCCTAATTCAAACTTTACTTTTCTCTTAAAGATGTCATTCATCCGTTCAACAATAACAAGATCTTTAAAATATCACTAAGTATGCCAATAACGAGTACAAGGTGCACGAGTTGCATGCTAATCTTTTCTCAAAGCCTTTGCCTTCGACTCATACAGTAGTTTACACACCATGCACAAAACAATTTAATCTTTTTATATAAAGAAATTGTTGTATGACAATGGATTCATTGCTCTGCGGGTATGCATGCATGCATATATTACAAGATCCATGCGCAATGTCGTCACGTGTGTGAGGAGAATTGATATAGAGCTGTAGGCTATTATACAGTATTCAACAAATAATGATACGTCTGGAAAGAAAGATATTCAAAATACATGCCCTAACTTAATAGCTTAAACTGGGAATGTGTCTCCTCTTCGATTGACAGCGAAGAAACCCATGCATGCATCGTCTATATGTCATCATTGACGTGCACATAATGTCAAAATAATGCCAATGCATGGAAATTGGTATTTATTTTATATATAAGTCTAGCTTGCTATAGGCGCAATGTGAAATTAAAAATTCGATCAGGAAAAAAACTTACAGTGAATTTCCATGTATATAGAAAAAGTAGAAGATAATAACTATAAATAAGAGACATTTAACCATAGATCATAGAACATCTCTTTTAGTAAAATTGAAGCCAAGAATATTCCAGCGGTTACCCCCATTTGAATAGATGGCGGCCATGTTGGAGTTTCCCACTCGCTAATAAACGCTTAAAAAACAACAATAACTTCCATCATTTGAATAGTTTGAAATTGTATTTGGAATAGGTTTAACTCAATGTGTAAGTTCAAAGTTTAAGAAATAGAAAATATACGAGTCTTCTCATTTCATGGGAATATCCTGAGTCTACAATCACGGCTTCAATTTTTGAATTGCAGAATAATTATATGCACTATCTAGTGTATATAAGATATCTATGCATTTAACGTTCTCCATCCACCGAGTTATATGTATAATATTAAATGCATGCATGCACTTTGAAATTTGGTCAACATGCAGACGAGTTAATTCACGACCATGCATGGCAGCTTAAAACAACTAGATGTTTTAGGTGAAAATAATGTATTGGAAATAGTAGCTAAATGTACAAAACCTTGCAAAATTTAGATAGTCGAAACGTATTTAGAGAATTAAATGTTAACAATTTACAGGCACCTGCTAAGTAGTCTAAGTATACACTCCATCTTGTGTAAACTTTGGTTAGGAGAAGTCAAGGCCGTATATTTTCGCATCGAAATTTACACAACCCCTGCCGAAACACCGCCAGTCACGATGCATGACATAAGCAGCATTTGTTGGCATAAGCTTCAGCTCTTTTCTGCAACAACTGATTTCCTGCATGCACTAAAATGCAAGCGTATATATTTAACACGAAGTTTAAGTTAGATAGACACACACACACATGCACATGCACAGACACCCCAGCTGTGGAAGCTTTGGTTTTTCAGCTTTGGTACTACGTTCACAATCACAGGAATACGGATACGACTGACAGTTATGTTGTTGAAAGGGTTTCTCTTTGTTGTATTGCTGGCAGGTATAGCAACTTGTATTTTTACTTCTGCCATTCTGGCATTGAAATAACATATCATTTAGCCTATAATATACGTTTTGTTTGTATAATTTACCAGTGGTTCGCATAATATCACTCGCCATGCATTGATATAAAATCACGATGCTTTACTGAAGCTCTTTCAATAATTGTGTTATGATGTATATTATATAATGAAACTGAAACGTTTGAACCAGATGTTTGATGGGGGTTCCACCGTGATTTCCCACCGTGGTCAGGCAAGCTTTGCAGCATGCCCGGTGTGGATGCACACTCAGAGTAACATCACAAACATTATAGATTTTTAATGTCACATGTTGTAAATTGTGGTAAGACTCCTAATTTGTATAGTTGGGTTGGGAACAGCAATGCGTGAACTCGATTTGGGGCGGCAGGTCGGAGGCGTACCGTGGGCATATTTTCCCACAAAATTTTGAAATCTAGAGTCTCGTAAGTTCTGGCAATGATTTGTCCTACTCAAACACCTAGAATGGTCTTTGATCAGGATAACATTCGAAGGTATAAACTTATTTGAGTTAAATGTCGTAGTATTAATACTTTAACTCCATGTACATGTTAAAGTTATCATTTTTTACCAAAATTCTTCTTTACTTATAGTTATTATTATTATTATTATTACGTTTTTTGGGTATATAGCCTAGTAGGGGACTACGAGTCATTTTGCTCATTATACCTTGTAATTATGTGTTGCTAAATAATTTAAAATCAAAAAACTGTTTTACAGCACGTAACGAGGAATCATGAGTACTCAATATACATTGAATTAATTTACATTTTATAGGCAGCGAAATACTTTGGCCCCCGCACGTAAATGTTTGTGAAGAGAATATGGGGAACTGGGGGTCACCCCCAAAAAACGCTTTATATATTTGATGCTCAATGACTGCATTTCTGACATTTTTCGTAGCATAAAACTTGGTAGGTGCACATTCGTGTTTTAAGAACTGCACAAATTATCGAACTGCACCTTTTGTGTAAAACTGCACGTTAAAATATCCTGGTTAGGAAATTATCTAGCCGGCCTAGCAGGCGATTCTGGCACGAAAAACGCGGGCAACGAGAAATGAAGAACCAACACGAATTACCAAGAAATCTACCACTATGATTGACCTCTGCCTAACAAACTCATTATCAACAACTGTTGATTCTGGTGTAATTCATTTTTCAATTAGTGACCACTCGATGGTCTATATTATAAGCAAAGCACATTATGTACAGACAAGGAATATCGAAGGAACTAGATTCTGTTCAGATATATCGCATACTCGAACCGACCTGACCGCGTAGCTCAGTTGGCAGAGCATTGGGCTAGTATTCCAAAGGTCGTAGGTTCGATTCCCACCGTGGCCAGGCATATTTTTCAAGCCTACCCGGTGTGGATTCACACTCAGAGTAACATCACAAGCATCTTATTCACCTGAGTGCACTGTACCAACACAGCAAATATCATAAAATTGATATTGTCATGTATATGTAGACATGAGTGAATGTAAAATAACGAGCTTTCCGTGTCGTTCGAAATACGTTACACTTGTAATACAATTGACCGCTTTTGTCACATTAATTGAATCCCTTAAAATAACACACTCCATGGTCAAAACTCCGAATTTTTGGGTGTTTCCCAACTGACCGCCTGCCAGGCAGGCTAAAAATCACCTTGGTTCTGAGCCGTATCCAGAAAAATTGGACCCGAAAAAAGTAGAAACGTTTTGTCTCCAGAATTACTTGAATCCGAGACAACTCAATGACAATGTAAAAACGGTTATTTTGGTGAATCCTCAACCTTTTCTGTACAGTTTTCGCTTGTTTACATATATCTACTTTTATGAGCATTTGTTATTTTTTGATACAGAATATTCACTCACATGGAATTTTAGTAAGAACTTATGAATGAAGTCTAATCCTTATACTGTACTGTATATGAATAATTTATCTTTCCTATCGTTACCTTCCTTATTCCAATCACTTTTCCTTTCATATTCCTTACCTTCGTCTCATGTCATGTCATGTCATGTCATGTCATGTCATGTTGTTTATCTTTATCATATTTCTTGCCCTCATCTCCTGGATTTTTACTTTCCAGGATGCATAATCCCATCGCAATCAGCCACTTGCGGTTCACGTTCCTACGATCCCAAGACACAAATCTGCTGTGCAGGAAATGTGTATGCAATCAAGCATGGTCCGAGCTGTTGTGGTGATAGAAATTACGATCCGAATAAGAATATCTGCTGCTATGGCAACATACTCGACAAAGTTAACGGGTTTTCTTGTTGCGGTGCTGTTAACTATGATCCATACAGCGCAGTTTGCTGCTACGGGAAGCTTCATACTAATGTTCCTCCCAGTTACAAGTGCTGTGCATCGGAAGTTTACGACCCCACCAGCGCTATATGTTGCAACAATAAGATCGTTTACGGCTCCGGTTATCGTTGTTGCGGCTTTGCACCGTATTATCCACCTTCACAAGTCTGCTGCGACTACAAAGTACTCAGCAAAAGCTCGGGAACAGCATGCTGTGGAACATACAATTTCAACCCAGTTACCAAAGTTTGCTGTCGTGGCAATATTCTGGCGAGGTCGTCTGGTGGTCAATGTTGTGGCTCCAATAATTATAACAGTCATTCCGATGTCTGTTGTAACGGACAGATTCAAGCAAGGCTCCCTGGAGGTGGTTGCTGTGGTTCTTACGCATACAACAGTAACTCGCAGGTTTGCTGTCGTAGTAAAATCCATAGCAAAAAGACTGGAAGTGTTTGCTGTTCTAACCGAATTCATAACCCCGCGTTTTCAGTGTGCTGCGACGGTCGAATACTTTCAAAACGGCGTGGAACCACCTGTTGTAAATCACGCAACTATAACAGCAAAAGCCAGTTGTGCTGCGATGGTAAAATTATTTCGAAGGTACATGGTACTTCATGTTGTGGTTCAAAAGCGTATCGCCCAAATGTTCATGTTTGCTGTAACAACAAAATCTATTCTGGTGGTAACGGAGTCGGGTGTTGTGGCCCTTCGAGTTACCAAACCAGCAAAAAAGTTTGTTGTTCTGGCCGAATTTCATCCAAGAGCAGTGGTACATCATGTTGTGGTTCCGTGAACTACGACTCGTCCCAAAAAGTTTGCTGCAATGGTAACATACTGCCAAAATCAACAGGAACTACTTGCTGTGGATCCATTAATTATAATCCATCTCGATACATATGCTGTGGTCATCACGTTTATCCAAAATCTTTTGGTTCTCACTGCTGCACCATTTCGGGCCTATACAATAGTCCAACCTCTTACGGAGTTCCCATCAGTTCAAGTACTTCCATCTGTTGTCAAGGAAAAGTTTATCCAAAATCTCTTGGAACATCATGTTGTGAAAATCAGAACTTTGACTCAAGCACTCACCTATGCTGCAACGGAAACCTTTATTCTAAATTAAGGTACAACTATTGCTGTGGATCTCGTCCCTATTATAGTGGATCTCATGTTTGTTGCAATGGAAACGTCCACCGTGTGTACAGCGGACGCTGGTCTTGTTGTGGAACTCAGAATTACAACTCAAATTCCAAACGTTGTTGCAATGGCAAATTGAACCCCTCATCATCCGGTTATGTCTGTTGTGGTTCCTCCTTGTATCATTATTCTTCACAGGTTTGTTGCAACAACCATGTCAGATCAAAGTCATACTCATCCTACACCAGATGCTGTTCCTCAAGTATCTATGACAAGAGAAGCCGTGTGTGCTGCAAAGGTCATATCCTTCTGAAATCGAAGGGCATTTATTGTTGTGGATCAATCAACTACAATCCCTCTACTCATATTTGTTGTGGCTACAATCTGTTGTTGAAATCTAAAGGTTCGGCCTGCTGTGGATATCACAACTACAACTCAAGAAAAAAGAAATGTTGTCATAATTCATCATACGGCGGATATTACCTCGTTCAAAGCTCCCAGAAATGCTATTAATATAATAAGCATGATTCAGAACTGTTAATGGTAATTCCAACGGACATGGACATTCGTTATACCCGTATAGTGCAGTTTTTTGTTTTACTTTCCAGCTCAAGACTTAGTGACAGCGAAATTTATTTTGTAATGTATAGCCAGCATTGATTTGGGGTTGATTATTGATTTGGGGTTGATTAACATATGGAAAAGTCTAATTAATAGTTTCATTATAGCAAATCAGACATCAAATTGTGGAAGAAATAAGACGACAATAAATGTGTATACGATTAATTTATTGGGACCTCTAAATAGTTGAACGTTCGGAGCTTTGCTTTTTTTGTTATTTTTTGTTATTTATCACTTATTTACTGAGACCGAGGGAAACAGTGTGTTTTGTGGACCCGAGACCGTCGATGTTTCCCGAGGCGAAGCCGAGGGAAACATCGACTGTCGAGGGTCCACAAAACACACTGCTTTCCCGAGGTCTCAGTAAATAAGTGTTTTATTATATATCAATAGTCAAAGAAACAACAAATTAAAGAACAAATGAACGTAAATACATGAAATATTTTATTGTTAAAACGTTATATTAAAC